TGGGGCAGCCTTAGGGAAGCTGCAGGCCCCTCTCTGAGTATTCTCTGGACTTGAATTTGTTCAGCCCTGAAACTCACTCGAGGATTTGAATGTGTTTATTCATAGGGGGCTTATAGATCCAATTTGATGTGACATCATCCAGCTCTTATGCTCTTTGGCCCCTTGAGTGTGGCTCTTCCACAAAATACCACATGCAGGCGGGCATGTACAGTGCGATTGAAACTTCGTGGCCCATGTGCAGAAGTCGGTATTTTGTGGAAGAGCCACACTCAAGGGGCCAAAGAGCCGCATGTGGCTCCCGAGCCACAGTTTGCCGACCACTAGGAGATAGGAAGAACAGGATCTTGAGGGTTCAGGTGATTGTAAAGCGGGTGGTGCAAAGTTGTATATCAACTGGATCAGTTGGGTATTTGTTCAGAATGGGACCTGCTCAAGCTGTCTTTGCCCTTCTAGGTTCTATTGAATTTGACCCTCTTCACATCAGTCTAAGTGGCATTTTTGACAACAGGGTCATGGTTCCAAGCTCTTTTTTATACAGTTGGCAGCTCTGATTCTGTCCTGTCAGCCCTTTCCCCATTCCTAAGTCTACTCATATTCATACTCTCTCTCCCACAGTAGACTAGAGAAAGTACATTTCATCTCTTGTAATTAAGGATGCCTTTCATAATGATTTCTCATATAAGGAAGTAGCTAAAGCATTGAGCTCCTGGCTTGATAGAACAAGGTCCTCAGCAGAAGCAAGGCTGCTTGTTAAGGAATATTCTGGCTCTTCTGGCAGGAAGCCATTCTCCTTTCAGAAAAAATATCAGCCTGTACCTGAACGCCCGGTCAAAGACACAGTTCTTCATTCAGTCAGCAGCATGGAATATCTGTATTCAGGGTGCTTTGGCCTTGAACTGACTGCGGACCAGCTGCTGTCAAATATACATCACGGCAAATTAATATCTGCAGAAGCCAGGCTATAGACTAGAACAGTGCTGGTCAACAATGACCTTTTTACTAATCCAAGGTGATGTATAGGCTGTAAAGTTATATAACAAGGTTTTTGTATAAAATGCATTCCATTTAAAGGACTCATATAATTTTTATCTATCTTTGGTGATAAAGGTCTTTTTATTAAGGGTGATAGATGGTTATTTTTAATGTTCTTGTCAAGACAAAAGGTGGGCAATTTTATGTTGGTTCTACAAATTTTGAGGGAAAGTTTTGCTGCTCCATGAGTCACTCAGGTTTGGAAACCACTGACCTGAGCCTGGTACACAACTATTCGCTAGAGCTTTCTTAACTTCAGCACTTTTGACATTTATGCCAACTACTTCTTTAGGCAGGGGTTGTCCTGTGCATTGTAGGATGTTTAGCAGCACTACTAGATGCCATTAACAACCCTCCCCACCCAGGTGCAACAATAAAAAATGTCTCCAAGTATTGGCAAATATCTCAGGGTGGGTTGGAGTAGGGTAGGCAGGGGCTGTGGTCAAAAACTTTTAAAGTTACTATTCCAGAGACATTGTACATTTTATTATATTCATTTTTTCCTCATAAATTTTTTATTGCATTAAATGACTAGTCTTGGAAAATTGCATGGTGGCCATAAATAAATGCAGGTAGCAAGGAGAACAAAGGCTATATAAAGGTTATGTTTATTATACCTTGATTATTTTTTGTTTCACAGAGATGCTGTAAGGCTTAATTAGTATTGACAAAGTATTTAAAAATACCCAACTAAAACTTTTGTAAATAGATACAATATTATTACACATAATAATGTTTTGCCTTTATATGGCATTATTGTTCACTTGAGATTCTCAATGCATTGATTCATTTGTTTCCTCAGTATATGATTTTCAGTTCATCTCAGGGAAATGGATAACACAAGTTAGTGTTCACCTGACATAATATAAAGTCAGGGAATTAATTTAATCTCACATTTCCTTTATAATACCCTGATCATTATTACTGTATCCTTATATAGAATACATATATATTTAGTACATAGTACATATATTGTATTTAAAATATAAAAATTAAAAATATAGTATATTTAATAAAACTTTTGATATTTTCTATTCTATATTACTATATGTTATATATTTTATAATTTTTAAACACATATATTTCTCTTTGCTAGGCTGTCAGCCTCGTAGAAATAGGAGGAGGTCTAAGCCTTCAGTTGTGTGTCTCTTGGAGGCTACAGGCTGTGGGCACATTATTCACGGGCAGCCTACAGGCATTAGAGAATGCTAGTTGCATTAGCTTAGTCCTCTAAGGAAACACTTTCATTATAGATTTATCTTTCCAGTGCTGTGCTTTTGGCTGTTATTGAGATTGCTATAAGAAAAGAAACATATCTGTATTTTTTGTAATAATCCAGTTATAATACAACTTAAAACATATGGTGGGATAATCAGAACTGCATTCTGACTTTCATGAACACTGTCTTTGCCTTCATGGGTCCCTTCCTTTATAAATAATGTTAAAAATTATAGTTTATGACTGCTTTGGTGTAAAGATGGATATAATTCCAGCTGGGTTACATTCTTCTTTTTCTTATTTAAAAAGAATTGAAACACTCTGGGGGCCCCTGAAAAGCATGACATGTTCTGGCACTGTGCCTAAGGTACCCAATAAAGAGATGGGCCCTGGGAGTAATACACTGAAGTGTTAGTTGGTGCTTTCCCCCTTAATTCCTATGCTCTTAAGGAAGTGTTCTAGTTGTATTGCTTCAGGTAAGAATGACCCAGCAGGCAACACAGCCAAATTCTTGAATTTGGGGTTCAAAAGTTTAGACCTTAGGATGACAACCTAGATTTGGAAGAATAGATGAAAAGGTGGGCTATCTGTCCCAGAATAGATGAAGAATTTATGGACTGAAGATAGAGGAGGCAGAGATGTTGAGAACGTGTGAATTTGTTCAGGATCCCAAATTTGAATTAAGACTTTGGAAATCCTAGAGCAGGTGGACTTATTGCTGCCTCGGCCTCTATCTCCAGGGTAATGTCTGCAGAGCTGTCTGAAGGACAGGGCTCCTATGTGTCCGCCATGGTCAGGATGGGGAGGTACATGAAGCACTTACCTGCTTTGTGGGACAGTATCTGAGTTTCTAGAAACCCTGGATGGTGGGGGACACTAGAAAGTTTTTGGTAGGTTAGTGAGTGGCACCCTTGTGTCTCAGTGCCAGACTATACAAACATCTGTGTGGCAGGACCAGGAAGGCATAGCAGAGATCTGCATGGATCCATAACAGAAAACCACAGGGGAATGTTTCCACAAATGCTACCAAGAAGAGACAATGATAACAAAGATGGATTCTTGGCATGGGGGAACCACATGGACCCTTTAGAGCTGAAAGGACTCCTGAACTGACCAAGACTAATGTTTTCCAACTGGAAAGTGAGAGCTTTGTTAAATTATGGAAATTAAGTTTAATTATGGAAAAATTACATTGTGATTCTTATATACCAGAATCTTTCAAGCCTGATTCATATTCACTGTCCATAGATATTTATAGAGCTTTACAGTATTTGAAGGACCTTCTGTATTTTTTCATTTTAATTCTAATAAAAATCAAAAAGGTACTGGTATTTGTTTCTGTTCTCATTTTACATATGAAGCAAGAGGGTTAAATAACTTGCCTAAGGTCACACAGCTTGGACCTGGATTAGCAAAGACTCAAACACATGGCCTTATTACCTCTACCACCCCTGGTTCTTGTTCAATATACCCACTAAGGACTTTCATGAGAGCTTTCTGTCAGTCTCAAAAAATGCTGGTATTGTACCAATATGCTTTTAGTGTTTTTAAATTAATGCTCAGTTGTGAGGAAGGCAAGAGAGCTGGAACTCTGCCACTTCAATCTGGGCTTCCTGCTGTTGTATTCTCTGCATAACTCTGCTCCCAGTTCTCAGAGGTGGAGAGGTAAGGTGTAATTTGAATGCAGTGCAAAGGCCAAGATGAGGGCTGGTTCCTAAAGGACCTCCTAACTTGGACACTGAGTGCCCCATCGAGGTGAATGGATGCTGTTCTGTTTCCACAGTCCTGTGACCACACTCAGCATGTTGTAGACTTTTCTTAATTGTATGTTGTTCTTGCCACATTATGAGCAAGTGGAGGCAGGGACTACATCAGGCTTGCTTTCCATTGCATCCCCTGTACCTAGCAAATGCCTGGCATGTAGTAGGTACTTAAAAATACATGCTTAATGAAGGGACAATTGAAGGGACAGATAGGTAGAGAAATTTTGGATAACTCAGTGTCCATTACACAATTCTAGCCCTGTATCCCTTAATTGCAAGTTCACTTCTGAGGGGTGCTTGGGTTCTGCTTCCTTTGTCTTACCCAAGAAAGCTTTATAAAAATAGCTACTTCTCTTGCAGGCTACTTCACCTCTTCTTTCTTCTCTGTCCCCAAATTTCTCCCTTATTATTATTTCTAACCAGTCTTTTAGACAAGATGTTTGGAATATTTTTTCTTGTTCCATTTACATGTTTTAAGAACTGTTTTTTTCTATCTTATGTTTAATTGTCAGTTTCTTTTAAACCCTCTTTAGAAACAGGAGCACATGTTATAAATTCATATGAGCAAATACTTTCTGTTCTCTCTCATTTTGAAAAAAAATTATAATGAAAATTCATGGTGGGAAAAATTTCTAAAGTGGCAAGTTGCCTTTCTAAGATATTACCATGTCTTATTTTAGAATTTACTTTTGGTAACTAATCTACATTATTAAATAAGATTCACTTCATTGGAGTCACTGAATAATTGCTGCTTGCTAAGTATTGTTTTGTGATATTAGTTTTACCACATATACCAAGTTGTTTTTAAGAAGTAGCCTCAGTATTAGTCAAAAAGAGATGGAAAATATATGTCATAAATCTAGTAAATTTGTAATTAAAATAATTTCACAAATATAGTCCATTTTTATTGGATAATTTTTTTAAAGGTTAAATGCAGTACATGATAAATAAGCTTTATCTCTTAACAGATTCTTACTTTTTTTTAAGGCACCACAACAGAGAAGCTTACCCCAAAGATTATGATATTGAGGGTCCTGAGAAAATTAAACTGTGTGATTCAACATATCGGAGGCTTGGAACTGATGAACCCCAAGTGAGTAGTTGCTGCTAATTTCTTTAAGCCTGGAATCCTCCCCCTTGTGAAGAATGAAAAATAAAGGGAGGAGCCCTTTGCTGGTGCCATCCTCTTAGCTATGTTAGTTACTTAGGCACGTGATTTAATCACTGTGTGCTTCAGTGACCTTACCTTAAACACGTGTATATTTCAAAAGGTTATTGGAAAAATAAAATGAGATAAAACAAGTAAAATGCTTACCTCAGCCTGGCACAGACCAAGTGCTCCAGGAATGATTACTGTTGTTATACTTTTGCTGCACCTGTGGCATCTTGCTAGGTGTCTGCTTTGACCTTCACAATAACCATGTGAAGTAGGTATTATCTTGATTATAGATGGGTAGGATCTCCTAGAGCAGTGATGGCGAACCTATGACACGAGTGTGAGAGGTGACACGCGAACTCATTTTTTTTGGTTGATTTTTCTTTGTTAAATGGCATTTAAATATATAAAATAAATATCAAAAATATGTCTTTGTTTTACTATGGTTGCAAATATCAAAAAATGTCTATATGTGACACGGCACCAGAGTTAAGTTAGGGTTTTTCAAAATGCTGACACGCCGAGCTCAAAAGGTTCGCCATCACTGCCCTAGAGGTAAAGCAACTTTCTCAAAGTCACACAGTTAGGGAGTGGAAGACTTAGATTTCAGTTCTATTTGTACTTATGGCGGCGGAGTTGTGAGTAATTAAAACATGCTATTATCCTTATAATATTTGTACACCCGTTACAAAAAGAATATTCATTTCATTGCATCAGTAATTTGTGTTTGAACTGCTTTTGTGGGTTATTGCTTGGCTATTTAGACGTCTACCCAATCAGTATGAGGCAGGAACTCAACTTCACAAAGACCTCTAAATTGTGTCCTACAATGCTAAGAGCTTTGGGCAAGTTGAAGAACTAATTCAGCCTTAATAGGATGGTCTTGGAGCCTGAAGAGCTGATAATTTGGCATGGGCAGATGTGAATGTGTTGAAAAAACTAGGTTTATATCACATTCTGCCCTCAAAGGCTGGCCTAGTTTGAAATAGGGCAGGTCCAGGAAGGAAGATCCACACTTATACATTAGAAATGGTTCTAGAAGATTCTCAGTTCTCCAGGATGATGGAAATAAATTAGCTTTGCAGGGCCCAGACTGTTACCTCCCTTCCTTGTATAGTTCAATTGATGGAGTAATAAGGATAGTCTGGAAAATGGGACTTATTATAAAGATACAATTGCTGGATATGGAACCAAGAAATTTAAAAGAACCAAGACAGCAAGATAGTCTCTTTCATATTCTCTCTCTCTCTCTCTCTCTCTCTCACAAGTACACAGAGTCTCTCTTGGCATCTCTGTTTCTCTCTGCTCAGTTGTGCTCTTTCCTCACAGCTCAGTTCTCAGGGGAATTCTGCTGTTTTCATCAGTTTCCACCCCACCCTCTTGCCTTTGCACCAGGCTGTCTCTTTGGTCATTAGCTCACACATGGATAGAGCTCTTTAGTCTAGTACCTAACTCTATCAGTAGTCACTCTCTCCCACTCTCCCAAATCCAGTTTAACCTTGCTTTCTTGAGCACAGGGCTATAGTCAGGACAAGAGCGAGTGGAAAAGGCAGGCATTATCTGGCATGCACTTAGACGGTTTTTTTTTGTTTTGTTTTGTTTTTACCTTGAAAAACATTTATTTTTTATTTCTAAGTGAAAATGTTTTTGGTCTCTGGATTGTTGGAGGAAGCAAGATGAAGTGAAGTATGAGGTGTAAGAACCATAACATTCATTCCTTATATTCCATGCATTATAGTAGTCAACCCTCAGGTTTAATATATGATACATAAATAAGATATTAACCTTCTCTCTGATGTTTGTTCATGGTCATTGAAAACTTGTCCTTCTTTTACCAGATTTGCTGTATGTATTAGATAGGAAGAAAAATAGACCAAGGAGTCACTATTTCTGATGAAACTGCTATTCCCATGTCTTAATAGTAGGTTACATTTTTCTCTATAGATTATTTTTAAATATATAAAGCACTTGCTCATTCATCTTGTTCCTTGCTATTCTCAAACAAAGTTATAAAGTTGACAAGAAAGATATTATTTCAGTTCTAAACCTAGATTCACTTATTTCAAATGGCTCACCCAAGGTCCCAGGTATATAAAAAGAAGGAGGGGATACAGAGTCTCCATACCTTTATGTGTCAGGTGGGATGCTAGATGTGGCAGGAGGATGGATGAGTTTCTCTTCCTCTTGTCACAGATTTTGATGGAGGTCTAAATACTAGAACACTCTAGATATTTGGCAAGAGCCATATGTCCTAAAGCAAGATGTTGGACTACCTAAGCAGGAGCTGTAAAAGATTATAAACTAGGTGAGGCCAGTATGAACGGTTATGTCTTTGAAGACTAGAGCCCAAGAGTTGAAAGAGGATTTATTTAGTTGTGGGTTGTATGTCTCTCCTTCCACAGTTGAGAGGTATTTCAAGGGAACCACTCAGAGAGATTAATAGGTGTGTCCTGTAATTTAGAGGACATAGAGTCCAGGTATATGACATATGCCTGAGAATCTAAAGCTGAGAGGCCATGCTTGGTCTGGCAGAGCAGAGGATGGGAGTGTTTGGGGAGAAGCAGTCCTTGAAGTGGGATGTTGGTCAAGGATATATGAGTGTGTGAATTTACCTGTGGACTCATTGGAGAGAATTGGCCAGAGCACACTTGAAAAGGCTGCTTAGAGTAGGAGCAGGGGGTGAAGAGACCGAGCACAATAGACCCATCAGATACTCAAGGCTTGGAAAGAGGAGTTACAATCAACCAGGAGCTTTGCCTGCTTCCAGCAAGCTACAGTTGGAGGCCCTTGTAAGACAGCCCCTGGAAACAATTACAATTGTGCCGCCTGAGAGCAGTCAATTTTGAATGTCCTATAAGCCCAGGACCACCAGCACAGGTCAAGAGAGTAAGGGCCATTTAACACTGTGCCTCATCTCTTCCCATCGGCCAGACCTAGGAGGGGGCTGGGAGTTGGGGGAAATAGAAGAGAGAAGCCTGGAAAGGAAACAGCAGTGGAACAAGGCCCCACCCACTGCAGGCTTCCAGGCCTAAAGCAGCCCTGAGCTGGGAAGGTGGGAACCTTAAATCTAATCAGTTAGAAGTGATTACTTCACTGGACTGGAAAATTTCATAGCTACAATGAGATCCTTCTTGAGATTGAGGGGCCCAAAAAAGCTATGGGACTTGCTTAAAATTTCCAACAAGCCAAAGGAAAGAGCTAGCTATCCATGTGGGATTTAAGGGGCTGCTTGATTAAAATCAAATTGCTTAATGATCACATTCTATTGATGGAATAGAATCAATTCATTAAGATGGTTACATGAACAGTGCCTCATTTCATCTTTGGAAAAACTCCCCAGGCAGGTACCACACGTGGCCCACATTGTATAGATGGGGACACTGAGGCCACGTGAAGCTTTATCACTTATTCAAAGTCTAACATCTGGCAAGTAAGTATATTAAAAATTAAAATCCATTTATTTCCCTACTGGTTCCAAAGTCTAAGATCGTAAATACTCTCCCAAATTCCCTTTTAAAATGCCATGTTGCTCCACTCTTAGTCCTTTTAAACATCTGACAGTACGTACTCCTTGCAGAAAATGAGCCTGGTTACTTTTTTGCTCTCGCTTGGGTATTGTATACACCTTACTGCATATGTTAGGGCTTTGATTTCTTACATCTTAACTACCACCTCTGTCCTGTTTCCCAAATTATGTCTACATATGTGCTCGCCAGCCCTATTCCCATCTGCTTTTCCTCCTGAATGCCTTCGTAGCATTTTTTTTGTCAGCATTGTTGCTGAGTGGTTGCTTCTTATGTGTACCAGCATTTCTGTTTAGCTGACTGAAGGTTTCCTTGCCCTTAACTGCTACTACTGGGCCGAATGTGCACATTGGCTTTTTGTAAAGATATTTAAGATGAGACTTTCTTTGTCTATATTATGGCCGAGACTCCAAAAGGTCAAGAACAAAACCACAGTCTCATGTACCCAAGTGAAATATTAGGCCACTGAGGTGAAACCCTCAAAGAAGATGGTGTTCTTAGGCCACCACACATATGCAGAGTATAAGAGGATTGAAATTCAGGAAACCAAAAGAGGAGCTGTGAGTAGAGAACAGGTTTGGGAAAAGGTGTACTGTAACTCTTATCTGGAAACATACCCCTCTGGTTTCAGTTGTGCATAATGGATTTCCTACCCCAATACCCTCAGGCTTCAGGAGGCTGTGTGGGACCCTGGGAGATACAGATTCACAGGGGAGCAGTAATTCAAGCCACTGGAGTTTCTCTGGTTGTCTTATTATTCTAAGTGACTATAAGTATAGTCACTATACGAAATAGCATTTTAAACTACTGTATTTTTTTTTTTTGGTATTTTATTTGGATTTTGTTCAGGTGCTACGGGGCTATAACAGAGTGAGCCCCATGCAAACTAAACTGATCAGGGGTACTTTTATCATTGTTTGTTCATTTGTAAAGTCTCACCCAAGGATCCTCACAACACTACCAAAGGCCCTGTCATAATCACAGTCAGACTGCTTCTGAGGAAGTGGTGCATGTCCTGTAAACTCAGAAGGATTTGTTTAAGATATATTTTTATTGATTTCAGAAAGGAAGGCAGAAGGAGAGAGAGATGGAAATATCAATGATGAGAGAAAATCATTCATCAGCTGTCTCCTGCATGCCCCCTACTGGGGATGGAGCCCACAAATCAGGCATGTGCACTGGGAATGGATCCATGATCTCTTGGTTCGTGGGTCGAAGCTCAACTATTGAGCCACACTGGCCGGGCTCAGAAGGATTTTAAGTACAAGCACATCTGATGCTGTCAAAGAAAAGCAAATAATTGTATTAAACAAATTTTCGTATACAGTTAATGAATTAATGCCAAGGCTTTTTTGGAACTGACAGGACCACATTGATGAGCACATTAGGTTAATATTAGTAAAGGGTGTCCCA